ATGTTTTACACTTCTGTAATCTTTTCACCCAAAAGCCATAAAACACTTAAATATCAAAGTACCTTTATAGATGATGAAAGAGGAAAGCAGAAGGTGAAATTCGTTTTACTAAAGGAAATCCTGGAAAAAAGTCATAGTTATATTCCTTAGGGTGGGGAACATATTTTCTCTTTTGTCCTCTGTGTTGTGGTAAATTTAACCCATATAGTTAGCAATGAAACTTGCTCAACTTCAGATACTGTACCAATGTCAGAGTTTATTATCCCTTAATTCTGGATCTTCTGACTACTGATATTTTCTGGTTGTTTTATTTCCTATTAACATGACTAAATTAAAATTGGGCACAAATCACCTAAAATTTTTAGCCATGCTTTGTTAAGCTACTATATTTTTTGTTGTCTAGTAACCATATCTCTTATAACTTAATAAGTAATTAAATATACCAAATAAGTAAATGACAAATCTACCAACTCTAGTTACTAGTCCTATTGTTAACAGCCCCCTCCAAAATTTTCCAAAGACAAGAAACAAACCAAGTTCTGATCACTTATTAAAACTTAATCAAACAAAATCTAAAGGCATTTTCTGCAAAAACAAATACAACATGTACTAGCAAAAAAATGAGCTGGGAACAGAACTTAACCTGCTTTTTGTAGAACTCAATCTGCCAGACAACTTATAAAAGTTCATCCACAGACATCCTGCTGTTTCTTTCAAGAGAATAATAAAAGTATAAGGCCAGGCAGATTTTTAAACAAGCAAAATCAATTCCTCTCTAGGTTTGGCTGCCCTGAATCAAGTCGTATGAACATCCATATTAACATTCTGTTATTCCAAATAGGAGCATTAATCGTAATCACAAAACATAAAACTTGAGACAGCTTCCAAAACTCTAGCCTTGCTTTTCGTCTCTGTAACTAACCTGTTAAGTCTATCAGAGAGACCTTAAGATGAAAAAAAAAAAAAAAAAAAAAAAATCCCAAACAAACCCAAACAGTATTTTGTTAATACATGTGTATGTATGTGCAACAGTATCTTGGTTTACTCCAGCTTCTTTGAGGAATAAGGTTTTCACAGAAACTGCACAATGAAAACTAAAAGCTATTTAGACCACCTTACAAAGGAGATACATACTGATATTAACTCTAAGTTACTTTTCTTCTAATTGTCACACACACCCAAACATAAGAAGTAGAACTGGACTTCTGGCACCCATAGGCTCCACTATTGCAGAATATAAATTTACTTATTTTTGCCTCCTCTCGTAACAACAGTAAGAGAGCCAAGAGAAACTGAACAACAAAACCCTCGCAACAGCAAGGATCCCACCACTTTAGACAAGTTGGTGCAACAGATACCTCAACAAATGTGTATTTATAAAGGCAGGTGTATGATTGCAGTGTATGCAGGATGACCTAGTTAACTTTAATTCAGGTACTACTGTCCTTAATTCAGCTACTTCAGGTACTTACAGAACTGAACAAAGAGTGGTACAAGTACAGAAAATTTCTGAAACTTACATAGCTGACAAACTTGTTGCAAAGAATCATTTTGTACTGGCATCATTTTCACCCTAACTAAACTTTCACCTCTGAGGCTCAACAATGAATTTATGAGTTGTGACACAGGACAGTGCAGTCCTGCAGCAGTCCACTAATAAGGCACAAAATGGTGAATCTGAGTCTTACAAAGACAGCTATACAAGAAATTTTAGGCACATCTCTTGAAATATTCCATTTGAATCCAGTTCCTTGCTGTTTTCACAGGAACTAACTTTGGGGCTTGGTTTGTGTTGTGAGGCTAAATGAAAGCAACACGTAGTTTTGAACTAGCCTGAATGTCCAGTTCAATAATTTGATCTGCTGGGCCCACCAACTGATCTTGGCGTGACTCTTTACCTCTTCATACCTCAGTTTCCCACTCTATAATTGACAAAAAGGATACTTCTCTGTTTTCTGAAGTGGTTTGGAATCCACAGGTACAAGACAGATATCTTTACCATCTTTTGAATAAGTGGGACGAGCAGCTACCACCTCTACATTCTAGAGAGAAAGTCTGAAGTGGAAAAAGAACTTGGTAGCAGCAACACTGAGGAGCATCACCAGTATAATGGCAAAACATACTGCCAGTATATTGCTTCCTAAACCAGAAAAATATTTCATTGACATGGGTGTTCTATGGAATGTTGCCTCCACATTCACAACTGAAAAATAAAATGAGTCATCAGAATGACAGCAGTTAAAAGAAGTAATCAATTGTGATTACTTTCTTTCTTAATTCAAGGACAGGAGAGATTAAACATGACTATTAGCATTCAAGAAAATCTTACTTAGGTATGAACATCCAAAATATTATGGACAGACAGGGATATTACAGTCTTTAGCTTTGTATTGAACAACTTCCTCATAATGCTCAATTTCTGTAAACAGTGTGAGGGCTCTAGGTCTACTCTTCAGATTAATGCATACATTTAGAATACTTTACTGTGTCTTCTGTTTTAGAGTCCAAACTACTAGTTTTTCGTAATTCAATTCAAAGCTTTATTGCCTGCAGATAACTGTAAGTCATTTCACACAGCATCTCTGTAAAGCCAGCTACCTAAATCTCGAAGACATTTATTGATGCTGAGACTGGAATGTCCCTTTACAAATGGACAGATTAAAAAAAAAATAAAAACCAAATTACTTCTCAGATTCAAGTCATAAACTCATTTTTCTCAAAAACTGGTAGCAGTTTTTGGAAACAGAAAGAACTTCTACGTGCTTCTGTGATGTCAAAGATGAAATCTCTGCTTGTGGAGGTACAATCTGTAGCAAGAACACACGTCTGCCAAGACTCTGGCATTGATGATATTTTGTCTAGACAGACTTTGAATGTGACTGACACAGGAACACTGCACATGGTTGAGGAAACTGGAACTTATGGAAGAGCTTTTCAAGACTTAAGTCAGCATACAGTATTTTGGAAATATGCCTAACATCCTCCAACCATACCTCCTGGTATTCTCCTCAGAAATCTAACAGGTTTTGTTTCTTCAAGTCTCCCAGTTGTCCCAGGAGACAGAAAGACAGATTTCCTTCAATAAGATGCTACCAGGGCCATTTAGACATAAGTAAATATTGTCAACATGTAGAGAGGTCTATGTGCCAGATAGTCACGGAGAAAGGCATTCAAGCCATTGAATTGTGTGTTATTTGGAAGGATTGAATACTCCGAAGAATTGCTAACAGTTACTCAACTACGGGACTTGACTATGAGAAATACATGACAGCTATTAGCAAAAGAACAGAAATGACTAGCTGCAGTTGATAACTGTTCTAGACAGTTTAGAAAGCACTACATATTTACCTTGGCCTTTTGGGCCATGACAGAAGTAGCTTGAACCATGTGAATGCTTTGATGGGAAAGTCCACATGAACTTGCCACAGACAGCAGGCTGTAATTTGGGGGCAATTATTAATATCATGTACTGTCAAATGTTATTTTCACTGTATGACAGCCTTAGTTCACTTAATCCTCAAGCAACTGTCAGGGCTAGAAGAACACAGAAAAAGGTGAAGGAAACTCAAAGACAAGATCATCCTCTTTTAGCTTTAGTTGGCTCATTTCCAATTCGACTGCCACTAAAGTCAACAGCTCCCCCCTAAATTTCTCGGACTTGACACTAACTTCTATCAATTAATATTACTGACAGTACTGGTCAGCAGGCCAAAAGAAAAAAAAAATAAAAAAATCAGATTCCAGTTTGCCTTACAGAAAAATATCAGGCCTTAAGATGCCTTTTTACAATCGTAGTAAAAGCACTAGTTATAGCTGTGGGTCCTCAGAGATCCAAAAATTTTTGGCACCCAACACAAAAATTATCCCAGCTAAATGCAAAATATGGTAGGTGCTTCTTCTCTCCAAATAAAATATGGGCCTCAGTGAACCTTAGCTTAATCCTGATACAGACGTTTGCACACTTGACCTACCAGGTTAATAGTGTTCAAGTTTGGTTTCAAAACACACAAACTCAACCTACTGAGTGGATATGAAGTGAGCAGGCAATAACAGCAGTACTTTTAAATTTGCAATGAGGTTCTGAGAGAGGTTTTATCACAGGGAAGCACTGCAATACTCGCATTTTGTGACTTTCTGTAACTCAGGAGGAACTGCAAAATTTCTCGCCTATTTACACTGTGGATCCAAAGAAAAAAACCTATTTTGATCTAGGTACCAGGTGTAAGTTGTCTATAGTATTTCTGAAATAGTCACCCAAGTTTCTCCTCCCACCTCCTCTCTTCCTCCCACCCCCTCTCCTCCCACCTGCACTAGGGGAACAGTGTTGTGGAGGTAAGGCTAGGAAGTTCAGCAAAAAAACAGCCCCTGGCCAGCACCTGGTGTTTTCCACGAAGCCATCATGCTCGTGACTGTTCCAGATCTGGACCCTTATGAAGAAAAGTGAAATGAAACATCTTTTGCTTCGTAGGCTCGTTTATGGATTAGCAACAAACCTAACTGGATGCAGCAGGCTGAGTTGCTCAACGTTGTTTGTGTCAACGCTCACACACTGGCACCTGTCGGGGATGGATTCCTCAGAAGGGCCAAAGGGAGCAAGGCATGTTTTCTATTTTGACAGCACACGGCAGCCACATGCCAGGACCAGCAAGTTCTGGTGTTTACTGTCAGCCATTAAAGAAGGCGAACCAAAGCATCGGCCCTGCGGTGACAGGGCATAGGGTGCGCCTTCCCCACGGCCTCTCAGCCCGCAGCTGCCCCTCGGCTTTGTCCGTGTCTTTCTCCGCTCGGACCACCGGGCTGGGCTGCCGCGGAGTCCGGCTGGCTCCTCTCACGGCCGGCCCCGGAGTCACGACATGTCGCCGTCCCCGCTTTAAGGTCACCTCATGGCGCTGCCGTCGAGCAGGGCCGCCGCCCCGGGGGGCCGCGACGCGCCGGGGCCGCGGCCGTTCAACCGGCAGCCCGAGGGAGGGGGCAGGGCCACGGGCGCCGGGGGCACTTACCAGGTCTATGAAGGTCAGAAATTTCCAGCTGCCTCCATAGGTCTGATGCGCGGGCATGTCAATGGCCTTGTAATTGCACAGGATGGAGCAATAGGACAGGAGGATGGCGGCGCGCAGCACCTGGCAGGGCACCAGCGCCATGTTGCAGGCTGCGCCGGGGCGGCCTCGGCGGCGGCAACGGGCCGCGCGCCAGCTCGGGGTGCGCTTCCGCGTGCGTGCGTGCGTGGGCTTGCGCGGGGCTCTGCGCCCGGCTGCGCGCGCGCCCCTGCGGAGCGCCCAGCGCCTCCGCGCCGCGTCCGGCCCCGGCCGGGGCGGGGCGGAGCGGCGGCGGGGGGCAGGCGGGGTCGGGAGCGCTGGTTGGCGGCGGCCCTGCCCGGCTGGCGAGCTCGGCGCGCTCTCGTGCCGCGGCTCCGCGGCCGGGCCGGGCGGGAAGAGGCCGGGCGGTTCCCGAGGGAGCGGAGGGGCATGCCCTCCCCCCTCCCACCGCCCGCTCCGGCGGCGGAAGGGGCGCGGGGCTGGCAGGTGCGGAGCCGCGGCGGCGCGGCCCGGCCCGAGGGACCCGCGTCCTTCAGCCGCGCTGCCCCCGGGGGGGCACGAGTGTGAGCACGGTCAGCACGTTATCTGCAGAACCTGGTCGTCCGCATTTTCAACAAAAAAATAAAAATACACACACAATCTATATATCTATAGCTATATCTATCTATCTCGACAGTGACGGAGTGCAACCTGTGCGGCGCGACCTCCAGCCGGCCGCACCTGGGGGCCGGGGCGCGCGGGGCAGGCCCCGCGCCACCAGCTGACCTCGCCGCAGCCAATGGGCTGCGGGCTGAGGACGCGCGGCGGCGGTTGGAGCAGGTGGGCGGCGGCGGCGGCGGCGGGAGGTCTGTGTGGGGGCGCGCGCGAAGGGGGGATGTGGAGGGGACGCCGTGAAAGAAGGGTTGCCGTGCTGGGCAGGGGGGCGGTTTGCGGCCGTACGCCGCGCTGCCGCTCCGCGGTTACCGTGGGCTGGCCGTACAGCTGCCCCGCCGGGGAGAGCAGTTGTCCTTTCGCGTGGGTGTCTGAGGCGCAGTCAAGTCCTCCGCGTCACCGCTCCTGGCGCGCGCGCGCACGCACAGAAGCCGGCTAGAAGTGCGCTTTCCAATACCTGCAGCCACTCTAGGACGAGGACCTCGTTATCCCTGGGTTAAAGCGTTGGGCAGAGCACCAGCGTTATAAGGAATGACCATTTCTGTCAGCAGGGGTTTGATCACCGAAGGGCCCCTTGACGCTAGGAGCACTTGTGGGGGTCTTGTGCTTGGACGTCAACACCCTGAAAAGGAAAAGGTCTTGAAATGCTTGATTGCAGGGTAAATACTAAATTGCTGCACCATCTGGAGAAGTTATTTTAAAGGGAAAAAAAAAAACGCCAGCAGTGATGTCTGTGCTTGGATAGACAAGCCACTTCTATAAACACCATCTCTATACATCTGTCTTCTGAAATAAATATTTGAACAATAAGGTGCTTCATCATAGTTAAGCTACTGGAAGGCAGAAAGAACCAATGACTGCGCAATGCGTTCCCTGCTTTTATTCCATTACACAGAGTCAAAGCCCCTTCATCTAGTATCCACTGTGCTCAAGCTCTGCAAAACGAAGGACTTTTAGGAGAACACATACTAGCAGCTATCCTAGATTAAATTAGCACAGTTTAAGATCTCTGCTTATGCAGAAGAACTGTATGTCAGGCATAGACAAAGAATCCTCTAGAAGCCTGGAGTGTGAATTTCCCACCGGATCCTTTAGGTTATCTCACCTATTAGTTCACAGCCCTGGCAAGCACATTGGGCAATCGGATTCTGCTGTTGCTTGTGGCACATATTTTAGTATCACAAGCTAAAAGGGTTTGGTCTCATTGAAGCCTCAAGGTTCATTGTGAGAGGTATCTGAGTGAAATGTAATGGTCTGCAATACAACAGGAGACTAGACTAATAATATTAGCACCGTGATCCAATGCAAGCTGATCTGTAAAGCAGCACCATTGTTGCTGAGGACCTGATGTCTGTGCTGTATGTACTGCAGGAGGTTTCACTTCAGAATGGCTGGATCTGTGGACTGAATATTCATTAGTGGCTGGAGTGCATTAAGTGAACCCCTGGAGCACATCTGTTTTGGTTTTATTCAGAAGGAGTCCAGCTCACTTTTTGAAACTGTGCTGTTGTAAGCCAGAGCACAGTATCAGTCCAGATGATCGGGAGATTTATTTTTAAAATACACCCTTCATCTGAACTTTAGTGCTACTGTAGAGGCTCTCAAGTCTTGCTGGACTTGAGCTTTGTAAACTCTCAAAGGCAAGATACTCTGTGGGGAGCTCCATGGCGTGACTGATTACATACCCATGCACACCCTTGTGCCTTGTGATCAGCCTCTGATGGGAGGAGTATGGGGCTGCCTAAGCCTTAGCTAGTCTGTCCCCTACTATTCCAGCTGCACCTTCTCCTATGATGTACAGAAGCTCACTCCTTGGGTGACCTTCATGTCACTAAGGCGGCACCACAGATATTAACACTCACTGAACATAACTTGAAAACTGCCATTCTCTGTTTGTCTTTTAGTCACATGTATTTAAACACTCTCCAGGGTTACAGCATCCTCAAAAGTTTTTAAAAACTGAAAAAATACCCAGGCTTTTTGGAGCCCCATTTGAACACTTCAGTTTTACCCTCCACTCTTCCATAGAAATCTCACCAAAGCTCACAGAAAATCTTAACCTCACACAAAGAAAAACTTTCACTTGGCCTTGTAAGCCAAGGTGAAAGTCTAAATGAAGCAGAATGTATAAACACTATTGTTCCCCATTTTCCTTCTTTCAGTTAGGAAGATCTCAAAGCAGGCTAACTAACATGCTGGGCTCAGCCAAGCTTCTTCCTGGTAAAAGACTCTTCTTTATTATGCATTTCTAGACCTTTGAAAGGAACCCTAACTCCTTTGTGGGTGGGTTCTTTGTGCCTCTGTCCCTTCTAAAGAAGTATCTGTTGAATCTCTGGACGGTATTATAATAAGGGCTAATTAGATTGTAGGCTGCCATTAGCCTTTATGTGCTACTGTGGACTTTATACTCCCTGTCTTTTGAGAGACAAGCAGCAAAGTCTTTGTGACTGTGGTTGAAGTGGGTTTGCAGTGGATTTTATTTTCCTTTAGATTTGGTCTTCATTTTTTTCAGCAAAGTAAAAATGAGAAGTTTACTAATTTGCCCTTTATATTGCTATAGGTCTGCAACTTTTTGGTTCTTTGTAAAACATTTACATTTCGGGTTTTTGATTAAATGCATAAATCATAGTAAGGTAGACTATAAACATGTAAAATATGTTATTCAGTGCTAGACTGTGATTTTTCAGATCCTGATCTTTAGATATTTGTTTATATGCAAATTGTGAAAAGCCTTAACTGAATTTTCATAAGTCACATACTGTAAGTTTATTTGAAAGTGGGAGTTTGACATGGGTCATACTTGTCATTCAGTAGAGATGAGAAACAGCTTTAGAAAGGAGAGAGAGTCCAAAGCACTGGTATGTCTAGGATGTGAGATGTTAGTAAATGCTGTTGGGGGGGGAAGCAAAATCTGTCAGAGAACTGAGTGGAAAAAAGAACTAAAAAGGTGGGTATCCTATCCAATTGTTAATACAAAATGAGCAGCATGATGGTTTAGCTACTTGGCACCTTGGCAGAATAAAGCGTAACATCTTGGAGTCCAAGTTTTATTATTTTCTATGCAAGCTAGCAGATGAGAATGCTTAAGAGGACACAATTTTGGTGATGGTGTTTTTTGTTGGCATTTTTTTAATTTTGAAAGGAATAATGTTTGAATTTCTGAACAGCATTGTATTGTGTGAATATCAAAGATATTTGTGAATATTAGTGAATGATCTTTGAGAGATGTTTTGGGCCCATGAGGTGCCTTTTTTTAAGCAATTGCTTTAAATGCAAATGAGTTGTTTACAAGGAATTATGCCACAAGCAGTTGCCTCCAAAGCAATAATAATAAACATAATAATGCGTGCTTGAACTCATAGGAAATTGGTAATACTGCCTCATCACAATGTGTTCGTGGTGATGCACCTGATACTGCAATTTCTAATATTTGAGGCAGAGTGTACAAACTGCGCCAAGGTAAGTATACTTGGATGTGTGGGAGTATGACTCCCACATAAGCAGGCATCTAAAAATTAAGCTTCCTTGCAGTGAACATAAGTGAAATTATTGAAACATTTGAAGTTAAAAATCAACAGGAAATTACTGAAAAAAAGGTTGCCTGTGCCCAAAAGAAGAGTTTTTAGAAATGTTCTCAATTGATATGTATATATTTAATATATACATATGGATTTAATTATATACATATGTTTATTATATATTGTATAATATATTTATTTATATATCTCTTCAGTCAGATCAACTATCACTTGGGTAGTAATGGCCCCACACATCAGAGGAGGATTCAACTCAAAATTGATGGTGAAGACAGTTATCTGCTGTAACTGGACCCATTGTTAATACTGCCAATAAAGTTTAGGCAAGTTTTTATTTCTTCATTTACTTTGAAGAGATATAAATGATAAGGATGGCAAAAAATACAATAAAAATGAAAAGACCACATTTATACCAGGTATAAAGAACAATGTGTTTAACAAGACTTCTGGAGCTACTTGTTTGTATGATAACTGATTATTGCCAATTTAGTTTCAAGTTTAGGTTTAAGAACAACAGTGAAGTTACTAATTTGGCATTTGTACCGAATATTCTAATATATATATATATGTATGTATGTATGTATGTATTTAACAATGGGAAATAGAGCTGGAGCAGAGATGACCACAAGGTAAGTGGAAAAAAGTTTGGAGCAGCTGGAAATTAATTTACCCACTCTGCAAGTTAAACTTTGCTTTATCCTGAAAGACCATGAACTTTCTTGCTATAAAGGGGAAATGAGCAGATAAAGCTTGCTGCGTTCATCTTCCCTGTTAAGTTAGAATTTCCCAAAGTGATGATTTTATAAAGAAAAAGCCTTCTTGTACAACTCAGGAGTTTTCAATGTGCAAGTGAAGCAGAGACTGAGTAAGCAGATTAATTTTTCTTCAATACATTGTGTGCAACAAAGCTGTTTCACGGTGAGGATTTTGTATCTTCATTTCATACACTTTCTGCTGATGAAATCGGTCAGTGTTAGTGCAGGAAGGGGAGGCAGGTAACAGGACTCTGGGCTGCAGAAGAGCAATACTGAGCGCGTATTCTACCTGCCCACAGATGATGTGGCCCCTTGT